TTCGTTACTTTCTAACTTTTGTTTAATTGACCATTTGCGTAATAGACTAAATTTTGATCTCAACAAAAGTTTCATTACAGCTTGAAAGAGCATCACAAAATTAGTAATATTCCAAAGTTTCGTTGCAAAATGTTGTAAAATGCGGAAAATATAGCCTTGCGAAATTTGCAATTTTCAGTCATTTTAGATTATAAACCGGAAATTGACAGCCTCGAATGGTTTGGGGCTGTCAATTTCCCGTTTGTAATCTAAAATGACTGAAAATTGCAAATTTCGCAAGGCTGTATTTTCCGCATTTTACAACATTTTGCAACGAAACTTTGGAATATTACTATCTAGACTTGTTTAGTTCAAAATTTAGTCTATTACGCAAATGGTCAATTTTACGTAATTTATTCCCAATTTATTTTACTTTTGGGATAGGTAACAGGACCTCTACATGCGTTTGGGATCTCTCGTTTGTGACTTACTTATAAGCATGCATTCATTTAATGGATTTCTTATATCTTCAGCGTGGTCTGGAAAGTAGACCATACCGTGAAATATTGTATATTTATAATGCGTGTGCTGTTTTGTGTTTTTTGTATCTCAATCCATGAATGGAGAAGCCCCCCCCCCCCCACTCTACAGACAATAGTACTTTTACTTTGTACTTCAAGTATTTTTTACTTAAGTACGTTTTGCCTCCAGTATTTTTTACTCTTACTCAAGTCGTTTTATTGTTAATTACTTCTACTATAAAATAGGGTGACTTAGGGCCCATACTTAAAGGGGTAACAGTCATGATTGTAAAGGACAAGCCATTATTTATGGTGGGGAGGAGCAGCACCAAAGAGAAAAGGGTTGGATAAACAAAATTGTGAACAAATAAAATAATAAAATATTGGGTAAATGGAAAACGAAACAACTCAAGGGTTGGGTAATAAAAATTTATTGCCATTTCCAGAGCATGACTCACTCGAATATTGAAGAACAAAAAGCAATGTCAACAATCATATGCAAATACAATACTTAATAAATCAATCAATCAATCAATCAATCAATCAAAGTTATACTATCTTGATTATATGTCTCCAAAGAAAGTGCATGTGCAGACAACATGAAACTTTACACGGAAGAAAATTGTACAAGCAGTTATCAAACTCATGTCAAAAAAGTGGTAAAAGACACGGGTAACAACTGAATGTGAATCCTTTGTGAAGTTTTTGACCAGGGGTGGGTATTTATCTTTTAAATTGACATTTGGGTAAAGACTTTTAATGGTTAGATCAGCAAAATTTTACCAGGAAAAACATTTATTTTTGGTACTCTCCCCTGCCCACCATAAATAATGACTGGTCTCTAAACCTAACTGAAACATTACCTTAACCCTATGCTCTGCTCCGTCACATTTAGAATGAGATTCTTCCAGCTCTTCAACACGCTCACTCACTTGTGAATAACGTCTTAAAAAATATTATAAGCATACATTCAAATTTTATTACCATTCCTGATTGTTCAACAATCGCTGGCCACATGTAAATCTCAATATATGGTACTGTAGCGCACAGATTATTACAGGTGCTGACATGATTTGCGTGCAATAATTCTTTTTGGACCGAGGTTCATGTTAAAAAGCCAGCGAGATTTTTAATGCTGAAACAAAATGGCTTTGAGGCCAGTCAGGAAATGTTCAAAGTAATAGGCAGATTTAGAAAAGACGACGAAGCAAACTTGACGACGCAATCTCAAATTCAGCTCAAGATTGAGAGCTAAGGAATTTGATTACTGTAATACATTGAAGCTTTTTCAAATAACTTTACACACGGCTAAGTTTGGGGGGAAAAACGATCCTGTGTTTGCTATATGAGACAGATTTTATATAACTCCTTTAACGTCGCCACAAGCATTCATCTTGCTTCAATGACGTGAAAATCTTGGTTTAATTAATGTTGTATTCAGAATGACGCGATGCTGTCGAGGATACCCCTGGGATCACAGATTAATCTCAAACTCATTAATGATTCATGAGTAAATTAGCCAACCATACTGCTTTATTTTATTTACATGATAATGCTGGATCAAGCCTCGAATTTCCCTGAAATCAATCAACGGGAATGGCGTTAAAAATTGCCGTAGAACGTAACAGCTGTCTACGGCAATTTTGACAGTTTCCACGGCATTTTTCAAATTACTGTAATACAACTTTAATTTTATTGTCACTTTGGATTTTTGACAAGCTAGAAACATGTCTAGTACGTATTTCTTTAGTGTTTTTTTTTTCGAAGAAAACTGAGACTAAAATAGCGATTTACGCATGGTTTGACCAACATCTGAATTCAAGTATCAAAATACTAAAATAGTAATGCACAGTGAATAGTATAAAAATTATACTATACGGCAAAAAATTGCCGTCGTTGCCGCAATGATCCACGGCATTTTGTTCTCCCTCTACGGCAATTGACCATTTGCGTAATAGACTAAATTTTCATCTCAACAAAAATTTCATTACAGCTTGAAAGAGCATCACAAAATTAGTAATATTCCAAAGTTTCGTTGCAAAATGTTGTAAAATGCGGAAAATATAGCCTTGCGAAATTTGCAATTTTCAGTCATTTTAGATTACAAATCGGAAATTGACAGCCTCGAAGGGTTTGGGGCTGTCAATTTCCCGTTTGTAATCTAAAATGACTGAAAATTGCAAATTTCGCAAGGCTATATTTTCCGCATTTTACAACATTTTGCAACGAAACTCTGGAATATTACTAATATTGTGATGCTCCTTCAAGCTGTGATGAAATTTTTGTCTAAACTTGTTTAGTTCAAAATTTAGTCTATTACGCAAATGGTCAATTGCCGCGATAAAATTCGAGCCCTGTGCCGGATACCTGGTGAAGTATATTGAACCAGTCCTAGGACTGGATCACTGGATCCAGATTAATTCAGTCCTTGGATTGGATCAAAATTAATTGACCTCACTTTAAGTAGTGATTTATTCATTTGAGATGTCATTTCAAATCCGACAATTCAGACTGGACTAGATTAATTCTTCGCTTCGCCTCGGACTTGATCAAATTGCGCGGGCTTGAAATCTAGTCCAGTCCTCATAGTCGGGTTTGAAATATTACATCAAATGTTTTGTTTTGCACGAAGAATTTCTGTTTCGAAGGAATCGTCTTTCAGTTTGTGTTGTCTTTTCTAAATCAGTCTATTGTCAGAAAAAGACAGTGACAGCACTTTCAACTGTTTTGACTAAAATAAAGATTTCGGTCCATTATTGTTCATGAAAGTCTGGACATGTATGTTCCGACCAAGACGGTACTTACTTTTTGTAATATTCCAACTGGTTCTCATTATCCGCAAGTTTGTTTTGAGCAATAATCTTCTCAGTTTCCTGTCTGAAAAATATGAATAATTCTTTGTTGAGCTGTACATCAGCTGTAAAATGTGGTGGAAATAATTATATACAATTTTGATGAAAAACACTATGTTTATGTATTTTTCAAAGTTTTCACAATCACCACCAGTGGCAGACACTTTACAAAATACTGTAGCAGGCAGGGATTACTGTAGGTTACCAATATATCAGACCACCTTTTGCAAATCATAGTTCTTTAAACTTTTTCACCTTAGATTTCATGCAATATATAGCTTACAGTATAACCCTCTAGAATGGTTTCATGGTTGAAAAATAATAGTTACAGCTTTGTTACAACTATCATTCAGAAAGGCTTCTGTTCATAAAGCTATTATCTGTTCATAAAGCCGAAATAGTTTTATTGTATCTCAGTGCAACAGAGACAGATTTTCATATTTTCGTTTGGGGGTGGTGGATTAGTATCTGGGGGGTGCTGCTACTTGCTTTGGCTGGGGCCTGGTAAACCGGAAAACGTACGCGTTTCCTGGTACGCCCGGAAAACCCCAGGAAAAAGTTTAACAAAATTTGTTTTCTAGGCCTGCATGGTGAGATCTGAGACTGGTAATATTGGTAATTTTACAAATTTAGTAGTAAGAATAATCAAATATGAAACTATCAAATCAAAATAGATATAATTTGCAGGGTGGTCATTTCTCTGTTTTTGTGTTTGTGTGTGTGGGGGGGGGGCTGCATTGTGCCTGTAGTTCAACAGCTCAAAATATTATATACAATTATATTATATATATTGCTAAATTCTGTAGCAGAGGTAAATTATTTTTTTGAAAAATCATGTCTTCTGCTCGAATGATTGTGCAGAAATTTACCACCTAGTGGTCAATGTCCAGTATACATAACTGTGATACCTTGTCAATTTTTCTCTCATTTCTGTCAGTTGTCTCCAAAAGCCTTCTTTTGACTACAAAGAACAATTGTTATTTAAGGTACTGTTATAACTACTGTATCAATTCTAATTGTTTAAAATATTTTATCAGTAAAGCTGTAAAGAATCCTACACAGAATACCTCTTCAACTTCAGAGTTCAATTTTAGCATCTGTCTTTGCAATCCATGAATTTTTTCTTCGGCTTTCTTTTTGTAATCTTCAAATTCCTTTCTTGTTCCTTTCAGTTCATCTCGCACATTTTTCTCTTGATTGAAGACATATTTCAACTGTTGTTGCAATTCTGAGTTCTTTTCAATCTCACGTCTCAGGTTTCCTGCATCAGAATGGAATGGAAAACATAAAAACAGTCGAACCTGTATTAAGCGGCACCATATTAAGTGGTCACCCTTTGTTAAGCGGTCATGTGGTAAAGTACCAAAAATTTCACAATATAAACACTATTTATGTGACATTGGGTCATTCCAGAAAAGATCCACACTCCCCCCATGGAGGAAATTTCTCCCGTTCGGAGGGGGAGGGGGGGACAAAATTGTTTCTGATAATAGTAAATGTATTAGGACATCCAAAGGGGGTAGGGGGGTTAACTTCCAATTTCCTCCGTGTGGGTGGTATGGATGTTTTGTGGAATGACCCATTTATTGAATGGTCATCTCTATTAAGCAGACATGGTCAGCTTTTCGACAGTCCCAAACTTAATTTTTCATTATTTTGAAACTCTATTAAATGGTCAGACTGCAAAGTACTTACGTTTCGTTTATCTCATTACTCAAACTTAGTAATGTGATGGGCTTATAGACAGGTGGCTTAGATTCGACTGGGAGAGCTTATAATATGAGGTTTACAAGTTTATTATCAGGTCTGATAAAGGTCTGGGCTTACAGATCGATCAAACATTCTGCAAGCCCATCTTGCTTGATTGAACTAGAGCGCTTAACCAGCATTGCAGAGCCACAGGTTCAATTCTGGAAATTTTACACTTTACCATACCAGAGTAAATCACTGCTTACATACGCCATCAAAACGTGATAAAAGAACGAAAAAACTCGCCATCAGAACACACGCCATCAAATACTATAAAGTACCCAAATGTTTTGTTCATAATATATTTTTTAATTTTTTTTTGTTTATAACTTTTACTATGTGTACTTAATTAAATTACATTAAAAAACTCATTAATAATTCAGGAGCAAAACACAAAGAAAAATCATAAGCGTTAATTTACATAAACTTTATAACGTTAATTTACATAAGGGGCGGACCATTAGAAATCCCGGGAGGGGGGGTATAAAATTTTTGCAGCACGAATTTTTTTTTCAGTCTCGTGTCTCTGCAGGAATTTTTTTTAATGCATTTAACCTTTAAATTTTTTTTCAAGACTATTTGTACTTCACTGTTTGCTTGCAAGAATTTTTTTTCTCTGACGTAATGGCTGCACAAATTTTTTTTCCAGGCATTTTCCTTTGCACGAATTTTTTTTTTTTAATTTTCACCCCCCCTCCCGGGATTTCTAATGATCCGCCCCTAAACTTTAGCTTTGATTTTCTCGGTTTAGACAAAGTTTATTTTAAAAATTACTTCGCCAATGAACTCATATAATTATAAGATGAGTCGTTTTTTAAGCTATTTAAAGCACTTGTAGTCGTGTTTTATCACATATAAAACACTCCGCGTGTTTTATATGTGATAAAACACTCCTACGCGTGCTTTAAATAGTACTTATTTACCTTATAAATTAAAATACTTCAGAATATTAAATTACACATTATTTACCTTGATGTATCTCGCCTTCTTTATCCTGTTCAATTCTTGCCCGTTTTCGTTCAGTCATCATGAGTTTCGACTCATTTTCTAGTTGTGATATTTTGCCTTTTGCACACAACAGCGCCACATCTTTCTCCCTGTCTTTAGAACTTCTACGGGCGAACGAATAGTCCGTCTTGCTGCTTTTGTTATTTGTCTGTGCCTTGAAACTGGAGCTAAATTTTGGCGACGGCGTTTCGTCAAAATTCAATCGTCCTATTATAGTGGGCCTTGCAAGCCTTTCATATTCCTCCATTACCTGTACAACCGCCGTACAATCCTCTGGGGTGTCCCACATTTTAAGGAGAATCGTTTTAAAGGTTAAAGAGAGGACGAATTACGGTAAAAAAAAACAAGAAGATTTTCAAGCATGTGAAAATTTCAAAACTTCGTACATGCCGCCATTTAAAAATACCGTGCGCTTTGGGGGTTTGGGAAGGAATATAATGTTTCCACTTTGCGAAAATTTGCGGAAACACTACTTGCTTTCCTGTGAAATTTACCGATTTTACCACTGATAAAATAGAGTATATAAACTATTTTAAGATTTTATTGAACTATTAAACGATATTAGAGCAGTATTGAACAATTTTTTCTAAAGTTGGCAAAGTTATCAAAGAATATTTACCACAAAGCGAAATGGAAGATTGCAAAAACAAACCCGCAAAGCCTCCACCGACACCCTTAAATTCGTAAGGTGGTATTGAAAATCACGTGACATGTCTGCAATTATTGTTGGGATTTTATCAATTACTTGCCGTGTTTGGAATTTTACAAATAAAATCTTTATATTCCTGTGAAAATAACTACAAAAGAAATTCAACGAAAGGCAAAGAAGAGGTCTAAGCGGTTTGTATTTATAAGAAGAAAAACAAAACGCGACAAATTTGCTTTGAGAGTTGATATTTTATATTGTGAATATATCCGGTCAGACTCTGCGGTACACTGTGCGAATTTTAGTTCACTGTATAAACAACTGAGTAACTGACCAATGGAAGAATTATCTATAGGAAATGATATAGAAGTACACAGCATTGACGTCCAACCTTATGAATGCGATGTTTGTAAGGAAGCATTTACTGATTCTGAAAGTTTAATAAAACACAAACGAATACACAAAGCGAAGCGCTATGGCTGTGATGAATGTAATTTGAGATTCCAACGGAAAGACCATCTCATCAGGCATAAAAGAACACACAATGGGGAAAAACCTTTTGAATGTGATGTTTGTAACAAGAGATTTTCTCAAACAGCGATCCTAAAAAGGCATAAGAGAACACACACAGGTGAAAAACCTTACGAATGCGATGTTTGCAACCACAGGTTTACGAGCTCAACCAGTTTAGCGACACACAAAAGATCGCATACTGGGGAGAAGCCGTATGAATGTGATGTTTGCCAGAAGCAATTTACAGCTTCAAGCAGTTTGAAAGTGCATAAAAGTCGGGTACATGACGGACTCAAACCGTATGAATGTGATATTTGCAAGAAAAAATTATCATATGCAGGCCATTTGGCAAAACATAAAAAAATTCACTCCAGAGTATATCTATGTAATGTTTGCCAGTCAAGTTTTAACGATAAACAAAGTTTTCAGCAACACAAAAGAACGCATCAAGTACACAAAACCTATTATGAATGTGATATTTGCAACAAACGTTTTGGAAAGCAGAGTACTTTAGATTTACATAAACAGATGCACGGTGAAAAGAAATGTTTCGATTGTGATGTGTGCAAGAAGACATTTACTAAATTTGCTAGTTTGGTGTTGCATAAAAGATCTCACACTGACAGTCAGCCTTATGAATGTGATGTTTGTAAAAGAAAATTTAAATTTTCTACCAATTTGAGAAAGCATAAAAAGGCACATCCTAGAGATGACAAATCTTCTCACGAGTGCGATGATTGTGATAAGACGTTTGATAAATCTGAAGATTTAGCAGAACATCAAAGAATGCACAAACCTTATGAATGTGATGTCTGTAAGAAGAGATTTAAACATACTAGCAGTTTGCGACCGCACAAACGAACGCATACTGGCGAAAAACCGTATGAGTGCGAGGTTTGCAAAAAGCGATTCTCTCATTCAAGTAGTTTAGTTGTTCATAAAAGATTGCACAGTGGGGAAAAGCCTTACAAATGCGATGTTTGCAGTATGAAATTCAGGGGGTCGAAAAACCTAGTTAGGCATAAACGAACGCACACTGGGGAAAAGCCTTATGAATGTGATGTTTGCAAGAGAAGATTTTGCCAATCGAACGAATTGAAACGCCATAAGAGAACGCACACCGGCGAAAAACCTTATGAATGTGACGTTTGCAAAAGGAGGTTTGCAGAGTCGGGGCAATTAACGCAACATAAAAGATTGCACACGGGTGAAAAACCTTATGAATGTGACATTTGCAAGAAACGATTTGCTTACCATAGTGGCATGATGACACATAAAAGAGCACATGCTGGGATCAAACCTCATGAATGCGATGTTTGCAAAAAGAAATTTTCATTACCGATTCATTTAGTAGAACATACGCGAACACATACTGGGGAGAAACCGTATGAATGTGACGTGTGTAAAAAAAAGTTTGCACGATCATCTGAGGTGAAAAGTCATAAAAAAATTCATGACTTGAATAAACCTTATGAATGTGGTGTTTGCAAGAAAAGGTTTTTTAAACCAATCACCTTGGAAAGACATAAAAAGCGACACAATGCAAGACCTCAAATTTATGAATGCGACGTTTGCAAGAGGAAATTTGCTTACGAAGGGAACCTAATGCAGCACAAGATGACGCATTTGAAAGATGTTCCCATCTTGTGTAAAATTTGCGGCAAAGAAATTTGTAAATCGCAAGACATGAAAAAAGCTAAGATGTTAAAGTTGATCCCACTCAAGGCGAAGACTCATGGTCCTGACGCATCGTATCAATGCAATACGTGTCAAGAAATACAATCAGCCGGAACTGGCTATGTCTGTTCTTTCTGCGGCTGTGGGTTTGATGCCCTGAGTGAACTTCAAGATCACATGGTTATACACAATGCTAAGTCTGACTAGACTTTTTCAGACTCCAGTTACATGATACTGGATTTGCTTGTCACGGTGCCCAAATTAATGGTTTCAGCAATATCTTAACACTTAAAATTTCAATGATATGACAAACTAAAATAAAAACTGTTAAATGTGCAAACTCCGGTTATTTTAGCTCCGGCAGTCAAAACTCCGGCTCCGGTAAGGAAATTTCATACTTAAAAATTGAAGCAGGTGAAAGTATTTCAGTGTAATTTCAGAATTTAGTTTATTCCTTATTGAGCTTTCTCCTTTACTTATCAAATATACGCGCGTCAGTGCTTGTTTAATTTAAACAATGTTTTGTAGAAACTAGAAAGTAAAACCGCATGGCAGCATGGTATTTTCGCCCAAAATACATTGTGGTCAGCGGATTTTGTATCAAAAGCGATGGATGAATCTATAACCAAAGCGATCGCAATGCACTTGCAGAATTTTCGAAGCCACAAATCAGATCGGAGCAAGTAATTAAACTTTATACTGTAGTACTAACTTCAAATCATTCAATTGAATTTTTCCAGTACCAAAAGTTCATTGAAATATGTAATAGTTTTTCATAATTTTGTCTGCCGGAGTTTTTCGGCTCCGGCAAAATATGCCGGAGGTCCGGCGCACACACCTTTAGCTAAATGCGGAAATTTTGTGGGCAGATTTTACTCCTGAACGGCATATGTTGATGTCGTAAAAAGTGAATCCGGTACCGTGTAACAGCGGCCTTAATGGTAGATTGGTTCTTGATGGTTTATATACTTCACATTAGGGGGCTTCCATTTAGTATGTACAGGTTTTGGAAATATTTTAAGCACCCCTTTTGCATGCTCTTGCGCACTTTTTGGCTCCTGCTCCCCAGTGTATTCAAGAAGACACTATGAGTCCCTGCATCATGATTTTTAAGCATGTTTGGCGAACAATTTGATCATACTTGCCTTATCTAGTGCACATGTCTCTAATCTTTAAAAACCCATTGAGTGGCAGCACTCTCTGTAAAATTGTCTCCCATTAGACAGAGTAAAGTACAATGAAAACCACCCATGTGCGGTCTCCTTGCTTAAAAATATATTACGGCACTGCCCACAAACGTAACCGCACCGCCTCACAGACATAAAGGAATTTCAATGTCGCGTGTTTGATTTTATCAAATATCGTTTAGTTTCAATATTTGAAGCAATTTTACTTTGGGACTTAAAAATATATCTATAAAACTACAGAGACTTAAAAATATATCTATAAGCGTTTTATACTATTTTAAAATCAAACGTGCTAGATGCGTCGCGACATTGAAATGTCTGAGAGCGACTTTGGAAACGTTTGTGGGCGGTGCCGTGATCTATTTTTAAGCAAGGAGACCGCACATGAGTGGTTTTCGTAGTAATAAAATAGGGCTCGTCAGGGCACATTGCCACTTAAAGGGTTAGACCTCTGTAATGCATGTTCAGTTGATGCTTCACTCGCGGCTTTACTTAAGTTTATTTGTTGAAATAAAGAATTTCTCCGTACGAACAAATGGTTTTACCACTTCCCCCATTTTGTACACAAATGTATGCATCAATTATACCCCCTCCTATGCATGCGTATGTACTAAATGGATACCTCCTATACGCTTTGCAATTTTGCCTTTATACAGTAATAAAATGTTTTGGGTGTTGTCTTAGTCTATTGATACACTACATTCCTCTTTCTGTCAACCGGTGGCATGCACATAATGACCACTTAGCATGATGGTAAATAATAAAAATCACTCAATTTGCATTATGACCATGTTTGAGTAAAATGTTAGATTTACTCCAAGTTTTTGAAAGGTTGATAGACCACTTTAGTATGAGACCATGAACAGATCTTATGATACACCCAATTGGAAATGAGACTGATCTCATAACTGACTGGATAGACTATCAAAAATTAAGTCAGTTTCACAGCCGAGCAAGACTGGGGCAAGTCTACTAACATTTCAGCCCTTTGAATAACCCTCCTCTCTATTTCTCCCCCTCCCCCCCCCCCGCCACACACAAACATAATAAGTCCCCTTTCTATTTAGCCTGCCCCTCAAACTGAGTCCCGTTCAAACATGGCTGAAATAAATAAGCCCCCATGGAGCTTAGTAGAGGATTTATGGCTGTTTGCAATGATCCCGGATATCTTGTCCCAACGAGGCAGGTCCTTACACAAAGATAAAATACAGTATGCTAGTACAAAAATTATTTAATGACAGTTCTATTGTGGTTATAAATTAAATACAAATAAAAATTGAACAGTTGAATGTCTCTAGCTAATACTTCCAGTCCCAGCTGCACTATTACTACAGAGTAATTACATACAAACAGCAGCCTAGTCCCTGGCCTTCCAAGCGCGGGCGAGTTACAGGCTGGCGTGAACTTGCGGGCTGTCAGTTTCGGAAAATATCCGAATAATACAGCTTTATCCCGGTCAACCTGCAAACCTTAGCGATTTCCCCCTAAAATAACGAGGCGGAAGCGAGAAGGCCAGGAACTAGGCTGTACAAACAGGGTGTTCACGGGCCTCAAATCCTGGACTGGAAAGTCCTTGAAAATCAGTAGAAGTCCTTGAAAGTCCTGGAATTAATTTCCTTAACCTCCAGGGGCCAGTTGTTCAAAGTTGGGTTCAGTTTAACCGTAGGTTAACCTAAAATTTAAAGCTCAAATTTCCTGACAGCTTGTCTAAATTTGGAAATATTTCTTTAGAGATCTTGTCTGGATCGATAGGAGTTTTCTTCTCTGAAGTTTTGAAATAAACAGTGTAGAAATACACACACTAAAACAGCAGGTTAAATTTTAACCCAGGGTTAGCGCTACTCCAGCTTTGAACAAACGGCCTCAGCTGTGCCAACAACAACATTAGCGTTTTTGATTAAAATTACTGAATAAAGTGAATTATTTACGGTAAAATGGGCCATTTTCGAATATTTTTCCCAGTTCTAGTTCCTTGAAAGTCCTTGAATTTCACCTTCACCAAAAAGTGGACACCCTGTACAAAGCCAAAGTCTCACTTCAGGGTAATTAGTATAAGGGATTTTCCAGTCGGCAGAAGTGAGATGCGCAGTAGGAACTCTTGATATTTACATAAACTGAATAATTTTTTCTGTGTTGGTGTTGTGTACTCAGGTGAATATGATATTTGTGATGTTACTCTGAGTGTGTATCCACACCGGGCGAGCTTGAAAAATATGCCCGGCCACGGTGGGATTCGAACCTACGACCTTTGGAATACTAGCCCAATGCTCTTTTGAATCAGTTTACATCATGGATCAGTTTACATCACTGAATCAGTTTACATCATGGAAGTCAAAACTTTTCTCTAAGATCCCGGTTTGCCATGACCATAGTCTGTAAAGATAGGATGGTCTGGAATCCCGGCAAACTTCAAAGCCACAAAATAGAAGACCTTCGTTTGATGTTGAACTGTACCTCACCGTGCACAAAACATATGACAAACACTTCTGTTTAGTTTCCGGACCATCATATCTTGATCGACTGTGACAGAATGGGAGGCGGGATGATTTTGATGTATTCAAAATTTCAAATAAATCACTACAGGCTAAAACGAAAGTACAAACGCTGGTTAAACGAACTCAAACGTTGTCGAGAATATCTCGTAGTTCAAGAAGATCAGTTGCTGCTTGAACAACCTTTCGTTTTTGTGCACCCAGTGACTTATTTGAGTTATTTCAATACATTGAATTCATCCCGCCTGATTTCCAGTAAAGACGAAGCTCTAGGAAGATGTTCTGTGACTGGTTGATTATGACAATGACAAAAGACGTAATTGGCTTACATAAACAAAAGGAATATTGTTCTTGCTTCGTTCTTTAGAAAATCCATTCTGACTATAGCTTATTCTTTTGTCATTGTCATAATCAACCAGTCACATGCAGAACATCTTCCTAGAGCTTCGTGCCGACTCCTGATTTCTCGTCCAGGCAAAGCGGGATCATCAATCATGTAAACAACCCCTGAGCTAGTAAGCTTGGAGACAGTTCCCAATTACAAGATTTGAAGTTACAACATAACAATATGCCATCGACCTTTCAAATTACGAATTATATGACCATTTTCTATTGTATTGTATTATATGACTATTTTCTACTATATTAAATCTTACCCACCCTGTCAACTTTCCTTGTGGGAGGAAACCGGAGTACCCGGGAAAAACCCACGACTTCGGCAGAGCGTTGACCGACTCTTCACCTGACGAGAAACAACGAGTTGATGAACACAACTAACTCATGATCTCAGATGTGAAAGGCCGAAGTCCCTCTAATAATATTGAATAAATGAATTAAATTTTAAGTAAATCGCGGCATAAAAATACAGAAACTAGCCTAGTTCTTGTCAAGTCACTTAGTCACACACTATTCTTAACGCCTATATCAATCTTGCACCCAAGCCCGCGAGCGATCCGACATGGACTCGGTCTGAAGTGAGATATAAAACACGGCGAGAGCGCTGCTCGAGTGTCTTATATCTGATAAAGCACGGAGTGTTTTAAATGGCTTAAAAAACTCCCATCTTATGAGTTTATTGGCGAAGTAATTTTAAAAATAAACGTTGTCTTAGTCGAGAAAGTCAAAGCCAAAGTTTATGTGAATGAACCTGATTTTTTATCACATATAAAACCACTGACATGGTAGTGATTTCCTTTGTCTTTTCCTCATGAATTATTAAGAGTTTTTAAAAAAAATTATCAAGAAATTGTGTCTAAAATACAGGAATTCAAGTTGGCGGTACTCCGTGCAAGGCTCTTACAATTAGGTTCCTTTTTTTATTTAAATCGTTAAAAATCGAGAAGCGTCAGAAGCAACAGGCCAAAAACTAGGCTAGATGGAAAAAAAGCATTTACAAATTAATTGTCAGAATAATATCAGTTCACCTTACCCCGTGTTACACCGGCGGTGGATGACGATTTCCTAGGATAAAAGGAATGCATTCTCCATTTGATGGAATTGGGATTTCATCTGCCCTTGCTACGAGCCTCAGACGTAGAGCTACTTTCCTTGTCTTATTGTTCGGAACAAAATCGGAAATACTCCGAAACGTCTGTTCGCTTTGCCCTTGCATCGTCGAAGCACCTGGTATCCATTCTAATGGTGCAGGGGCATTGTTTTCGCTACGTTCGGCCGTTGGCGTTGAACTGGATTGTGAAATTCCTCCCCCAACGAGCCCGAAATTGATGATAACGCGAGACCCATTCTTAATACCATAATCGACCAGCTTGATGTTTCGTTTACCAAGTGGCCTATAACCATCTATCAGAACGGTTGCTGAATCACAACTGAACTTAAGCGAAACCTTGCGGTGAAATTCCACATCAGTCATGTTCAAAGAGCATCTTGTTATGTAGATTTTCCCTTCCCCAATGTCACAGGTTATTATCATTACGGCAACTTCTGGTGTAAAGATTACTTGAATACAGCCATTTTGTTCAGTATTTCTTTCGTCGATGCCAGAATCTAATGGGGCATCCCTGACGGCGAAAAACTTAAAATGACTCGCAGTTTGACGTGGTCGCTCCAAAGTGAGCATTCCCCCTGCCTTTATAATCAATTGTGAAGAAATGACATGTCCGTCTATTTTTACTTCGCATTTACACCTATGACTGTTAAAGTTGTTAATGACCAATTCATAACTTTTACCACTTCGTAAGTGCACGTAGTCGTCTCCCTTGTCGTTTACCAAATGTTTCCCTCCATTTATGTGCAAGCGATAGCCGGAATTCTCAATGTAGTGCACACTTTTTGGCGTCAGGCGAGACCTGCGAGGGCAGTCGAATTGCTGAACTTCATAAGCTAAATCTTCTCGAAAGATTGCTTCCAGTGATTCCTGAAGAAATTTAAGATTCCCAGGTCCGATACGTCCACGTCTTTCGAGTTCTTCGAATAGTGCAGACGGTATTTTAATTAGAGCTTCTCTTTTCACAGGTGGGATAATGTCAGATAGATAATACCCTAGCTCTGCTCGATCATCCGATGTTAATTCCTTTGCAATATTTAATATAAAGCGACGGAATTTCAAAGCATTTTTGCTCATAATGATTCAGAACTCTTGTCCATTTCGCCTTTTCATGAAACAACAACAAAACCTATTGTGCTTCTCGCTGAATATCAAAGTGGAAAAGAAAGAGCTGTCCGTATGCAACTGGAAAATATCCAAAGGGCAAGGGAAATTCCCTAGGGAAAGTCCCTATTCTATAGAGCCTTGATGAAATTACACTAATTTTTTATTTGGCCGTATAATTTTAGGTATAAATTGCCGAAAAACAAAGTAACAATCTTTATTTCGCATAATCTGACAATGTAAACTATAAAATACATTTGTAATAGCTCCAAATGTTCTATAAACAGCTTTTTGAAGATCTATTTTCCTTTCGTTTTCTCCGATTGACGTCAAAAATGTCATGCTCAACTGCCCAAGGTCAAAAGACTTGAATTTCATTTCGAAAATTTGATATTTGCCTTTATAGAAAACGCGGACACGGATGTGGCGTGCATGGGTACCTCATCGAACGAGAATGAAAAAGCATAATTCTGAAACTCTAGCCCAAGATAGCTTAAGGTAATGGCCGAATACATTTAAAGAAAAATTATGAAAAATTAATGACAAATTATGATTTTTCATCCAAAGAAAACACTTCTGAGTTCTGAGCTTTACTTAGTTCGCCAGTACTAGTGACAGTGTATAGAAGCTTGTCGCATGCAAACGCGAAAACGTGACACAATTCAATCATAGTCAATAGAACCACGCAAGTGTGAAATTGTTCACACAACATTTCACAGCTACAATTTTTTTGCGATAACTTCGACGAGCCACTGATTAATTAATTAAGCAATTGCAAAGAACTGAAAACATTGAAAAGCGGGAAGAGAATACGCGGCGTCATGGTCCTGATGCATCATATTAATGCAATACGTGTCAAGAAATCCAATCAGTCGGTGTCACAGGAGACAACCCCCCCCACCCCGGGGCGAATCTCCTAGGAATATCGCCCCCCAGGGGGGCGAATCTCCTAGGAATATCGCCCCCCTTTAGGAATTTCGCCCCCTGTCACAGGAGATTCGCCCCCCAGGAGATTCGCCCCCCTCTCAAAAGGGGGGGGGGGCGATATTCCTAGGATATTCGCCGGGGCGAATCTCCTAGGAATATCGCCCCCCTTTAGGAATTTCGCCCCCCCCATATAAATTTTGAATTTTTGATCTAAAAACAAAACGATTGCAAGTTGAAAAGATTTATTGTGTGATTTATTTATTTATTTATTTATTACAAGGAGACAAAATTACATACACATTTTAGGCTTCTGCATAACCACTCATTTGAGGTACTTGCCGTATTTGAGGTACTTGCCGGGTATTTCGAGGAACCATTGCCCACAGAGATCGCATAAAATCATGTTGTCGTATTCTTCAGTTTACATTCACATAACATATCATAAAAACAATCGCTTGCAAATTTTATCAATACCAGTGTTAACAATAGCCGCCACAGTAATCAGTGACTAATCACTTGCTAACAATACTATAGGATTAATAAAAAATCTATGGAATGTGTTGGGAAGAGTATTGACTATTGTCCGTTGAATCATCAACTTTCCATGTCAGTGTTAGTCATACAGGGTGTCTCAAAAAAACCGCTACCCTTAGAAATTCACCATTGTTCTAATTTGAATGCCTGAACCTTGTTGAAGCCATGAATGCGTAAACATTTTCACAGGATGCACATATTAAAGATCTTCGGAATTAAAATATCCTTGAAAAGCGAAATTTTTTATCCTGGGAATTGAAAATAGTTCATACAAAAGTATAACTACACGAAAATCGTTCAATTACATATTAGTGAATGTCAAGCAAATGGCTCAACTGAGCACAGAGCAAAGAGTATTTATTGTCTTAAATTACCCATGAGTTCAAGATAGCACTCAGGCATTCAAATTAGAACAATGGTGAATTTCCAAGGGTAGCGGTTTTTTTGAGACACCCTGTATAATCTTGATTCTTGACTTCCGCAAAGAAAATTGCATTATATATGTGGTGTGGTTTATTCAATTAATTTCATGATACTTTGATTTTATTAGTGCCTTAAACATTTGAGATCATTTGAGAATGTAAGTCGGCAAAACTAAAAGCTTTTCTGTCTTTCAGTTGAAACGTATATTATTGGAGTATTGCCTATTGGCAAGTTCTACCCTTCGCTTCTGAGATTTACAAACTATATTGAAATAATGCAAGTAAAAAATAGTGACAACTTATAAGCCACACATTATCCAGTAACGACAAAACGTGGATGCAAAACAATACCAATAATTACAATAACCACCACGGTGATTACTTTTTAACAATGAGTTTAAGGATCAACACTGAAAATGCAAAATATGCATGGTGTGCTGTGAAGCGTCATAAGTCCTGTTGATCTACTGTAACTGTGTAAGCCCTTTCGATACATGTAATTGTAAATTTGTATTCTTACATGCAGGTCTTGAAATAATAAACGTTCCCAAAGTTCACGATCATGGTGATCAGCAGTCACTGATGACTTTCCCTGCTTTTTTCAGGTTGGAAACCGAAACCCTGCTTTCCCGCCGATCATAAGCAATTCCTTGCCGATCGGTGATCGGTTGTTATTTCAAGCTCTGTCTTAACAATTTTGAATTGATGCTGATTTCAAATGATTAAAGCCATGTAATAATTATCCCATGCAACTGTTAGGAAGGGCGAAATCTTAAAGAAAAGGTGAAGTTTTGGAGGGGGGCGAATTTCCTAAAGGGGGGGCGAAATTCCTAGGATTTTCGCCCCCCTGGGGGGCGATATTCCTAGGAATTTCGCCCCCCGGGAGGGCGAAAATGTAGGGGGCGGCGAAAATCCTGGGACACCCCCCATATAAATTTTGAATTTTTGATCTAAAAACAAAACGATTGCAAGTTGAAAAGATTTATTGTGTGATTTATTTATTTATTACAAGGAGACAAAATTACATACACATTTTAGGCTTCTTAGCAGCTGGTGGTGTACACAGTCTGCATAACCACTCATTTGAGGTACTTAGACTAGTGTCATATTCTACACATCTAAAGAGGAACCATCACAGAGATCGCATAAAATCATGTTGTCGTATTCTTCTGGCAGTTTACATTCACATAACATATTATAAAAACAATCGCTTGCAAATTTTATCAATACGAGTGTTAACGCCGTTAACAATAGCCGCCACAGTAATCACTTGCTAACAATAAACTATAGGATTAGTAAAAAATCTATGGAATGTGTTGGAAAGCGTATTGACTATTGTCCGTTGAATCGTCAACTTTCCGTGTCAGTGATGTAATCTTGATTCTTCACTTCCGCAAAGAAAATTGCATTATATATGTGGTGTGGTTTATTCAAATAATTTCATGATACTTTGATTTTATTAGTGCATGCCTTAAACATTTGAGAATGTAACTCTGCAAAACTAAAAGCCTTCTTGTCTTTTTTGAAACGTATATTATTGGACTATTGCCAATTGGCAAGTTCTACCCTTCGCTTCTGAGATTTACAAACTATATTGAAATAATGCAAGTAAAAAATAGTGACAAATCATACATTTTCCGATAACGACAAAACGTGGATGCAAAACAATACCAATAATTACAATAACCACCACGGTGATTACTTTTTAACAATGAGTTTAAGGATTAACACTGAAAATGCAAAATATGCATGGTGTGCTGTGAAGCGTCATAAGTCCTATTGAGTATTGATCTACTGTAACTGTGTAAAGCCATTTCGATACATGTAATTGTAAATTTGTATTCTTACATGCAGGGCTTGAAATAACGTTCCCAAAGTTTCCGATCATGGTGATCGGCAGTCGTGACTTTCCCTGCTTTTTTTCAGGTTGGAAACCCAAACCCTGCTTTTCCGCCGATCATAAGCAATTCCTTGCCGATCATTGATCGGTGAAGTTTCTGAAGGGGGGCGAATTTCCTAAAGGGGGGCGAAATTCCTAGGATTTTCTCCCCCTGGGGGGGGGGCGATATTCCTAGGAATTTCGCCCCCCGGGCGGCGAAAATGTAGGGGGGGGGGGCGAAAATCCTGGGACACCGGAACTGGCTATGTCTGTTCTTTCTGCAGCTGTGGGTTTGATATCCTGAGACTAAAGACCCCGTTTACACGGTACCGGACCAATTTGGGACCGGTCTGAAATTCGTCCTTTTTCGCCAGTTTACACGCGAATTCGTCCTGTTAGGAGGTCTCAAATTCGTCCGGTTTCGTGGGTCTCGTGCCGAAACGGACGAATTATACTCCGGTTCCAAATTCGTCCGGTACCGTGTAAACGTAGTCTAAGTGAAATACATACATATGGGAAAATCGTCAGTAATTATATATAACAAATTTTAAAAAAATACATGCACAAATTAAAATACTCGGTTTCTGACCAGATTGCCGTGTGGTAGTCGGATCAATTATTTATCAAGGTTTCTAAACCCATCTTAAAAGCAGTGAGAGAAGTTACTGATCTGAGAGACCCTGGTAGGCTATTCCTGATAAAAAAGCTCCACTAGCTGTAACTAAAGGAGCGTTTCAAAAATAATCTGTGCGTGCAGATTTTGGGATATAAAGTTTACCATCAGAGTCTTTCAGGTTATAAACACTCTCACTGGGAGAAACCCAAACCATCCCAGGTGCATAATAGGAAAATAAGGTTCAACCAAACCTTGACTGTTGCAGTTTGCTGATGCAGTTTTGAGGAAGACTGGTGGTAGCCTCCTCCACAGGCATCTCACTCGGGAATTGTTTTATTTCAATACCCATTCGCAGGCTAAGACCCATAGAGAGGCCTGCGGACTCAGTGCGGAGGGGGTAGAGTGGGGGCATGCAAGCCTAGTAAAATTTCAGCCTGTTACTCCAATAAGTCCCTTCAAACATGGCTGAAATAAAAAAGGCCCCAGGGAGCTTATAGTAGAGGATTTAGCGCAGTGTTCACAATGATCGATCCTGGTTTGCCAGGGTGGGATGGCTTTGATGTACTGAAATAAGTCACCAGGCTTAATTATACAAGAAAGTTCCAATGCCGGTTCCGAGTCCCTCGGCCTGCCCGGTTAAAAGAACTCGAATGTTGTTGAGAAGATTTCGTAGTTGAAGAACGTCATTATTGCTACTTGAACAACCTTTCTTTTACAATTATAGCCTACTATGAGTGGTTTTGCTGAATCATGCATTTCACTAGTACTAGAAGCAATACTTTGAAATCATCTTACCTCATATCTTGTTCCAAAAGGACAGGGGCCGGTTGTATAAAAAAGTGATTAAAGTTAACTATGATTAAGTGCAAACGTCATCCAATAAGAAGCGCCTATTTGAGAGTTAATCACTATTTAAGTACAAAATAGTGATTAAAAAAGTGATTAATAGGCCCGTTTCAGACGGCGTACTTATCATGCGCCGAACTTAATTGATGAATTAGGTACGGCAGAAGAGCGACGTATGAATCAATTAAGTACGGCAGAATTTGGAGCGGCAAAAGTTCGACACAAGTTCGGCAGAGCTTGTCGCATTATGCGACGCCGCTCCACTCATGTGCCAAACTTAACTCAACTTTAGTCTAAAAATAAACTTATTTATTTTGAATTTTATTTAGGTTTCGCTGGCGAATGCGCCCCAAGCTTGTCAATAACGTTGTATTTGGTACGCCGTTTGAATCACTGCCGTTCTTGTGTCGCATCTAATACAATTAAGTTCGGCACATGAAGAGTACGCCGTCTGAAACGGGCCTAAGAGTTTTATACAACCGGCCCCTGGTCCTTACACAGAAGACAAAAATATAAATACAGTATGCTAGTACAAAAATTATTTAATGACAGTTCTATTGTGGTTATAAATGAAACACAAATAATCCATGATTGAACAATTAAATATTCTACTGATTCTTCAATCTAATCTCAGCTGCATGTTATCATAAATTGTACATGAAAATTCTAATTGGAAGTTAAAACGACTTAGAAATTAGTCCCGTCATTTGACTCATTTCGATTAAAAATGGTTCAACTGGCTGCAGAGTAGAGTTGTTACTGTTTTACGCGCTGCGTTAAATTAATCAGCACATATAGTCCAGTCAATCTGTGACCAGAGCTCGAGGTCAAAGAAATTGCAATAGAATTTTTTTCACTGGTAAAATGTGAGGGAAGGTGTCCTGATTAACATACTAAAAATCAAAAAATCCCTTCGGTGGAACATGGTGAAAATTGAGAGACTAGGGATCCAAGGATAGTGTGAAGTTTCAAATTGAAAAAGACACTGCAAGAACTATATAGGTTCGCCGACAACCTAGAAAAGCTGATCGCTTACACTACGAAATAAACAATTACCAAAGGCATTTCATCTCATGCGCTCGGCGCACGACGTTTGA